CTTCGGGCTCAGAATTTATAGGGCTTTATAGGGTTTAGGGTAGAGTTTAGGGTTTATATGGTTTAAGGGGTAGGAGTCTAGTATTTCGGGATCCACATCCGTCTTCCAAGGCACCTCGTCGGCAGATGATTCGTTCTACCTCCTCGGCCTCTCCACAGCAGTGCGGCTCGACATCCAAGACCGTTGCAGCCGTTCTGCTGGACGTCCGAGAGTGTGCGACCAGCGCATCTCCATCCATCAGAATGCAGTCGCAGGCTATCTCAGATTTGCGAGAATGCAGAGTGCACTTTGAGGACACCCCTGAGATCGTTTGGTTTCTGAGTGACGAGGACACGAGAGGGGAGAATCCTATGGTCAGTCAGGAGGATAGGCAAAGCCAGGCAGTCGAGGCTTGGGTTGTCCCAGAAGCCTTTTCTGCTCTGCTTTCTTTTCGTTTGCTTCCTTCTTGAAGCTGGCTTTCAGGAAGAAAATAGGCTTTCGGGTGGAAAACAACGTTTTGTGCTTCTGAAGCGGATACATGGGACCAAGGGGGTTCAAGAGATCAATCAGCGAAGCTCCTCGACACCGGCGCCGCCACAGACGGGCCAGACTCCGTTGGCAGCGCCAGGGATACCACCAGCTCCCCATGACTTGTGCGCAGGAGGCCTGGCAGACCTTGCTGCAGACGCTTGGCTAGCGAGGCGGCTGTTGCGAGATGTAAGGCTGGAAACGGTTAGGATCCCTTGTAGGGCTCTGTTGTTCCAAGGGTGCCGTACTATAAAGGGGACTTTATAACCCAAAGGGTCCAAAGTACCTGTATGGTAGAATGTAGGGTTTCTCTCTTAGGAATCCTTATTTTGATTTCGGAAAGTATCCCCCCATAACACTACCTAGGACCCCTTGGGTAAGATGGGACCCGAGTTTAGAGAAATACCCATATGGGTAGTTCTCTAAATTCGGGTCCCTTTTTAGATCCCCAATTTCGTACGGCACCCTTATAAAGAGGACCCCAAAAGGAACCCGAATTTAGAGAGCTACCCTTGTCCAATGAAGACGCCGCACACGAATCCGGCCCAGCCAGGGTCAGATGCGCTGAGTCTCTGAAGTCGCATCTCCTCTGAATGTCCTAAGCGATGTAACGTAGGAGTTAGGGTTTAGGGTTTAGGGTAGCCTAACCCAAAGGGTCCTAGGTAGTGTTATGGGGGATACATTCCCAAATCATAATAAGAAGCCCTACATGTTACCATACAGGTACTTTGGACCCTTTGGGTAAGTACTAAGAGCAATAGCCATGGTCTAGCATGGAGCCCAATGTGCAACATTGCCGCGGCATCCAGTAGTGCTGCCTCCGAGAAGATGGCAAACCTTCCCACGGCCTATTTCGCATGGGCTGACAGACGGTATGAACGAAGCGACGACCACATGGCGACATGCAGTGACGACGCAACCCTAAACCCTAAACCCTTAAACCTGCTGCAAAGTGGGCTGTTGAGAGAGAAGCCTTGCGTGCAAAGGAGGTCGACCTTTTGGCAAGCCAGTCAAAGGCTCCAACGGCTCAGAAGGGTTTAGGGTTTAGGGTTTAGGAAATTCTAGAAATCCCAGAACGCAAAACCCTAAACCCTAAACCGAACTGCAAGTGCTCCAAGTACAGCACAAGCTCGGACCCAAGTCTCGCCAAGGATCGCACTCAGACTGAGTGGCCTTGACAGAAGCCCACAGTAGCAACATGGTTCCCGACGGCGGTTGTATACCTAACATAGGGGTCTAAATAATAACCAATACTATTTTGGGGGGTTCCTTGTTTATTTGTATAGTATAATGTACCCCGAAAGCCCAAAGCCCTATTCCAACTATTAAGGCCTCTACATTGTAGAACCCTTATAGCCCTTATGGTATCCTTTTTAAGGAGCCCTTTAAAGGAACCCTATTCTAAAATCTACGGCCCCTACATTACCTGGTGGCTTTTGCAACCCGAGCCCGGGCTGGCTAGGGCAACCCGAATCCACTCCAACATAACCCCAAGGGTCCAAGTGCCTAATCATCGTTGAGGTTTAGGATTTAGGATTTAGGATTTAGGGTTTAGGGTTTAGGGTTTAGGGTTTAGCATAGTAGTTTCGTTTTGGCATTACTTCATAGGATCCTAAATATAACCCACGAAAAGGAGCTACTATGGAGCCTCTGGATAATCATCATATACCCAGTTATCTACTATATGCAACCAGAGTACCTCATTACTGTTTCCTTTGGACCCTTAGGGTAAGAACCCGATCCCGACAGGTAGCGCGCCCTAAAGTTCTTCTCTTCGAGGCAACATGTTTTGTGCAATCCGGGCAGGAGTAGGGGCTATGGTTCTTACGCAGTGGGTTCTTGCACAAGATGTTCATGTTCACTGTGACTGTAGTCTCATATGAAACATGTGTATGTATATATATATATATATATACACAGCATGTCGTAATATAAAGAAACATATATATATATACACACCGGTATAGACATACATATATACATGTGTATATATATATATATATAGAGATAAGCAATACATACCAAAGCCATGTTCTGCTTCATAAGGCTCCTGCATCACATTGCGTAACAGATCCACACAGCCCGCTGCCAACCGAGGAGAGGCGCGACGCTCTGCTCAGGAAGCTCTTCCCGCCTTGAGGAGACCGTGAGCCCTGAAAGGTAAGGGAAGGCGTGCCGGTTTAGGGTTTAAGGTTTAGGGTTTAGGGTTTAGGGTTTCTGGTTTTCGGTGTAGGGTTTAGGGTTTAAGGTTTGAGGTTTAGGGTTAGGTTTGCAGGTTTAGGGTTTATGGTTTAAGGTTTGAGGTTTAGGGTTAGGTTTGAACGTTTAGGGTTTAAGGTTTAGGGTTTGGGGCTTAATGGCACCGCAGTAGCATGAAGAGTGCATCTCTGACATTCTTCCGGCACCGGTGGATTGAGAAGAAGATGCTCCGCTCACAGTCTGTATTAGACACTTTAGATGTTTGCCGAAGCTGAAAGCATCTACGACAGTTTCTGAAGCAAAGATGCAGGCGAAGATCCCTATGAGATCTACCATGCATTTCTTTCTTTGCCTTGAGCTGGAGTGCGGATGTCTGTGTGTGTTTTGTGTTTTCAATCAGCTTGCCAAGTTATGTTTTGTGTTTTCAATCAGCTTGCCAAGTTAGAGTAAGCCTGAACACTAAACCCCTAAACCCTAAACCCTAAACCCTAAACCCTAAAGCCCTAAAGCCTAAACCCTAAACCCTAAACCCCTAAACCCCTAAACCCTAAACCCCACCAAGCACTGAAGTAGGCCCTGAGCCGAAATTGTCCTCTCTGACACCTCCAGCTTGTACCATGAGAGCTGCGTTCAATTCGACAGCGAGCGCGAGCAGACGGCTTGCGTACCTTCGCTGAAAGTCCTTTCGCAGTTCTGTTCATTGCCTGAACGAATTAGGTTTTTGGCATATCCGTGGCACTGGCGAGTGCTCGGTCGCCATCACCATTTGAGAGCCATTGAGAGCGCCGAGTTGCTGACTCAGCAAGAATGCAGAAGGAAAGACGCAGATTCGGTCTTCCGATGTTTCGTGTTCAATGATTAACATCGGCTCATTGTGCGGAAAGTGTTTGACCTTGCATGCACTGCCAGATCGGTCCTTCATGCTATCGCCGTTTAAATGCTACCCTAGACCCTAAACCCTAAAGCCTTAAGCCCTAAAACCCGAAAACCCTAAACCGTATAACCTGAAACCCTAATCCTTGAAACCCTAAA